CTCAGCTCAGAGGTGGCACTGCCGCGTGTCCCCTGCTGCCACGCCTGTCTGTCCCCTCTCTCCCTGTCTGCCACCTCCTTTCTCTGCTCTTGGGACCAAAAAAAAGCGATTTAAAGGAGCGACCGCAGAGCTGCCCCTGCAGGAACCGCCTGCCGGGCGCTCTCTGCGAGCTCAGCACGGCCACCCCCGCTTCAAACAGGGGCCACCCCTTCCCTGTCCCTGTCCCCACGGCGCTGACACCGCCCTGCCGCTGTCCCCGCGCAGCAACAAGATGGGCATCAAGGAGCGGATCCGGCTGAGCAGCTCGCAGCGCCAGGGCAGCCGCGGCCGGCAGCAGCACCTGGGGCCGCCCCTGCACCGCTCCCCCAGCACCGAGGACGTGGCCGAGGCCTCCAGCCCCACCAAGGTGCAGAAAAGCTGGAGCTTCAACGACCGCACCCGATTCCGAGCGTCCCTGAGGCTCAAGCCGCGGACCCCGACTGAGGGTGAGCCCCTGGGGGACACTGTGGGGGGCTGCAGGGTTGGGGACAGCCCTCGGGCTCTGCCATCCCCCCGCTCTTGGCACCCACAGCCGACTGCCCGCCGGAGGACAGCGGCGAGGAGAGGAACTCCCCCTGCGACCTGACCTTCGAGGACATCATGCCGGCAGTGAAGACCCTCATCCGGGCTGTCAGGTGAGACTGTCCCCCCCTCCGTGTCCCCCGGGGTGCACAGAGCCCCCCCGGGCACCCCGTTCCTGCCTCCAGCCCGGCTGTCCCCGCAGGATCCTGAAGTTCCTGGTGGCCAAGAGGAAGTTCAAGGAGACCTTGCGTCCCTACGACGTCAAGGATGTCATCGAGCAGTACTCGGCGGGACACCTGGACATGCTGGGCAGGATCAAGAGCCTGCAGACACGGTGAGGTCGCCCTGCAGGTGACCCTGGGGGTTCTCCCACATTCCCGAGCCCTTGGCAGTGATGGATGGGCTCTGCCCCTTCCTTCCCTCCCCGCCAGCGTGGACCAGATCGTGGGCAGGGATCGGGCGCTCCCCGCGGACAAGAAGGTTCGGGAGAAGGGGGAGAAGCCGGCGCTGGAGGCGGAGCTGGACGAGCTCAGCATGATGGGACGCGTGGTCAAAGTGGAGCGGCAGGTCAGGAGGGGACAGCCCGGTGCCTCCAGCCCCCCAGGAACCCCGGCAGACAGCGGGGGACGCTCTCTGGTGCCCCGAGGGTACCAAGGCAGATAAACTAGTCACCTTTGCAGCAGAAGAGATGCTAGAGACGTCGGTAGAGGATGAAAGGGCTGAGTCTTAGCAGGGGTTAATCCAAGGTTTTATTCGGAGCTCCTGAGAGCACCCACACCTCAGGGGGTGCTCAGAGCACCTGGGAGAGGTGCCAAGGTTACATTTAAAGGGAGGTATGAACCAAAACGTAGATAATTTTGCTGGTCAATAAAGAAACTTCAGGGATGAACACTTAGGGAATGGACATTTGGGATAGTGTATGGGGCAGCACCTGGGGGGTTCACCCCTGGCCTCTGACTGATCACTCGATGACTTGGACTGAAAGTTCTAGACGGAAAGGATGGGATGTGAGTGATTGACAGAGAGCCAGAGTGGGGATTTGGGGATGATTTCAACAAAGGAGAATGATTACACAGGTAGAGGGAGGGGGTACAATCAGGGGTAAACCATTTGGTAAAAGTAAGGGGATCCAAAACCAAAACCATTACAAAGCATGAAAACACACTACAACACCCCGGCAATGTCACCATCCCTCGGGAGGAGCAGGGGAGCCCCCCGCGACCCCTCCGGGGGGGGGTGGGCCCTGCTGAGCCCCTCCCTGCCGCCCTTGCAGGTGCAATCCATCGAGCACAAGCTGGACCTGCTGCTCGGCCTCTACTCGCAGTGCCTCCGCAAGGGCTCCAGCAATTCCTTCAGCCTGGCCGCGGTGCGGGCCCCGCCCGGCGAGCCCGACATCACCTCGGACTACCACAGCCCCGCGGAGCACGAAGACATCTCCGCCTCCGCCCAGACCCTCAGCATCTCCAGGTCGGCCAGCGCCAACATGGACTGAGCAGGAGGCAGAGGGATGGACCCTGCCCGCCGGGGATGGGGCGCTGGGGGCGGCGTGGCGCTGTCCCCTCGCTGTCACCTCGCTGTCACCTCGCTGTGTTGCTTGAACCGAGTCTTCCTCTGCGGGGACACGGCTGCAGCAGGGTGGCTGTGGCGCTGTGGCGTGGCCAGCCCAGGCTCCTGGGATGTTCCTGGGACATTCCTGGGGTGATCCTGGGGATGTTCCTGGGATGCTCCTGGGGGTGATTCTGGGGTATTCCTGAGATGCTCCAGGTACATTCCTTGGAACGCTCCTGGGATGTTCCTGGGGATGCTCATGGAATATTCCTGGGATGCTCCTGGGATGTTCCTGGGATGCTCCTGGGGAGCTCTTGGGATGTTCCTGGGCTATTCCTGAGATGCTCCTGGGATGTTCCTGGGATGCTCCTGGGATGCTCCTGGCTTCCTGTAGGATGACACCCCCCCCCAGCTCCGGGGTCCTGGGTGCTCCCCAGCTGTGGTGGGGATGCTCTGGGCTGGCCCCATCTCCTGGGGTTTGGTTTGAACCCCATCCCCAGCCCTCAGGACAGGCCCTGCCTGGTCCCCCAGAGCTGAGCCGGGGCCACCACCAGCTATGCAAGGTCCCACCTCCTTCTTGCTGCCAGTGCAGGGGTGTGGGGGCACGACCCAGGGTGGTTTTACCCGCGTCACTCGGGGTCCCCAGTGTGGGGAGCAGGGGACTGTCCCCCCTCCCCAGGCTGCACCTCTCCAGAAGCACAGCAGAGCCTTCTGCCTGCCCGTGCATGCTCCCAGGGCAATATATATATAGAAGATATATATATATGTATTTATGCAATAATGTCTTAATATGCAACACCCCTGGGAAGAGCAACCCGAGGGGCCATAGGCAATAAGCAACCCCCTGCCAGCTCCCAGGGCTGGACTGTGCTGCCCAGGAGGGCCCTGGAGGCCCTGAGGGCTCAGGGCTGGGGGGAAATCCCCACCCGAGGGTGGCCCTGGAGCCAGGAAGCTGAGCAGGGGCTGTGGGGACAGGCGCTGTCCCCAAGGAGTGTCCCTCCCTCTGTGCCCCAACCCCTGCTCCTGCTTAAAGGATTCCCTCCCTGCTGGGTCCTGCGGTGCTCAGTTTGTCCCTGTCCCCTCTGTGGTCCGGGGAGCACGGGCCGGGCCTGGAGGGGGCCTGCCACAGGGTGGTGTCCTTGCATGTCACCTTCAGCAGAGCCACGACAGCTCCCGCGCTGCCCCAGTCCCCTGCGCTGCTCCCCAGCCCAGCAACACCGGGGCTGTGCCAAAGCGCCGGGCTGGGGCTGCACCCGGGGCTCCAGGGGGGCTCGGTGGTCTCCCCACAGTGCCAGGATCTGTCCTGGGCTGCTCCCAGGATCTGTCCTGCCAGCTCTCTGGGATGGCACCGTGGGATTCGCACCCCTTCTCCCGTGCCCCTGCTCCGGGCACTGCGGATTCCCGACCCTGCTCGTCCCCTCGCCCCGTTAGTGCATGTGGCCAGCGCGGGCCGTGCCAGAGCTGCTTGAAGCCCCCACACCCTCCTCCTGCCCTCCCCCCGGGGGTGCCCGGGAGGTGCGACACCAGGGGACAGCGCTGGGTGGGTGGCCGTGGGGCGAGGTGCATGCGACAGCTTTGCCCGCAGCCGCACGCAGGAATTAACCCTTAGAACCCCCCTCCCGGGGCTGGCTGGTCCCCGCAGACCCCCCCGAGCCAGCGGTAGTTACCTCACTTGATTAACTTATTAACTTATTTGTTTCATTAAAATTTGGAGTAGAGGCTGCCCGCCTGCTGCCGTCTGTGTCCCGGAGCTCCCGAGAGGTGGCACTCCAGCCCTGCCACCCAGCCAGGGGACAGCAACGTCCGGCCGGGGACACAAATGTCCGGCAGGGGACACAAATGTCCGGACTCCTCCCTGACCCCTTAAGCTGCAGAAAGCCACCGAGATGGGATTGAGAGCCCAGCTCCGGCTCGCTCTCCCTCCCCAGCTCCATCCTGTGCGCGGCGGGTGCAGGGCTGGTGTCGCTGCAGGAGGACCCGTGCGCTGCTTTTTTGGCACCTTACACGGAAGGGTCGCTGCCCCGGGAAGGGCTGTGCCCTCCCTGCCTGTTTGGTGTGTCGTCCCCCCCCGCCAAATGGCGACGACGCTGCGATGTCCCCAAGGCCATCCCAGGGAGGTGAGGGTGGAGCCCCCTTCCCCAGGAGCCCCCAGACCCTTGTAGGGACAGCAAAGCTTCACCCCGTGGCTGTGAGCTGGCACCCCCGGGGACAGCGCGTCCTGCAGCGATGTCGGGGCTGAGGCGGCCCCTTCCCGTGCCGCTGGCCGGGGAGGAAGCCGGGGCTGGCCGCGGCTCGGTCCCTGCCTTTCCTGGCTGCCTCCTGCCAAGAAACTCGCTCCAGGATCGCCTCGGAGCCGAGCCCCTCTCGCAGCGCCCCAGAGCTGCCCGGCCCGGGGATGGGGGTTCGGGGGGCTCCAGCACCTCTGTTCCGCCGACAGCCCGATGTGTGGGGTGTGATCCCTGGGGGGTTGGCTTTGGGGGGCACTGTGCCGGCCTCTCGCGGTGTTCCCAGAAGGGTGGGCTGCTTTCCCGGGTGGGTTTGGAGGGATTCATCCCTGCAGCTGTGGGATCTTCACCCCGCATCCAGCCCGGCTGTGTTCATGGGGCATCCAGGGCCAGCCCAGCCGGGTGTGGGGTCTGAGCGGTGGGGACGGGGTCCTGGCAGCTTGTCCCTCCCCCGGCACGGCCGGGGCGGTGGCACAGGCAGGGCAGGGGGTGTGTGCCAGCCCGCGGCTCTGCCTCCCGCCGTCACATGGGCCCAAGGTGCCCCGGCAGGACTTTGTCCCCCTCCACCTTGGTGGCCCCACGTGCGCCGAGGCTGCCACTCCCCGCAGAGGGGACAGGCGCAGGGAGGGAGACGCTGGCGTCAGAGTGACACAGAGGGAGCTGTGACCTCGCAGGGCCAGCCGGCCGCGTCCCGCCGGAGCCCAGCCGCAGGAACGGGGTGAGGGGATGCACCAAACACTTGGACTGCCGCCGCTGCCGCCTCCGCGCAGCGCCTCTTATCAGCTGGCAGGGGGACAGGGTTGTTACGGGAACGGTCAGCTGCTCCCGCAGCACCCCACGGCTCCTCTGAGCTGTCAGGGAGCTGGCGGGGGCACAAGGACACAGAGCAGCGCCCGGGGATGTCCTTTGTGCCAGTGGCTTTGCTTTGTTCTCCGGGGGTCTTGGGGGAATTCGTGACTCACTGTGGAATCCAGTCATGCTGGAGACAGTCGGACTGGGCTGGACTCAGTTCCTTCCTGCGGCGCTCCAGCCTCCAGCTCCAGCGTTGCGTGCGCTGCCCAAGGACGCGCTCACAGGAAAAGGCGCTTCCAAGAGCTCTTGGAAGAGGGACTCCCTGCGGAGGGGGCTCCACAGGACCCTTCTTCAGGCTCCCAGAGCACCCCGGGCTCCCGGGGAGCAGGCAGCCCCCGTGCCCGGCGGGATTTGGCGCTCCCCACTTCCACTCCCTTGCCCGGAGTGGAGCCCACCCTGGCCGCGGCATCCCCGCCGTGGGCTCAGCCAGGAGCCCCTGGCCCGCGGCCGTCCAGGGAACCCCGCGGTGCTCCCGTCCTGGCTGCCGCGAGGCATCCTCCAGGAATCCTTTGGCAGCGCCGGGAGATGCTCCCGGCCGGGCAGGGACAGCAGGAGCCCCGCGTGGGCGGCTGAGGTCCCGCAGCAGGTGCTGGTGCCGCGGGGGCAGCGGGGCCTGGGGGGCGGCTAAACCCCCCCCTGTTGTGGTCCCTGAGCGCGTGGCTGGGCGCTGACAGCCGGGCTGGATCCAAGTGACACCAGCTCCATGCCCTGGGTTGGGCTGGGCTGTCCCTGTCTCAGCTGTACCCCTGGAAGGGGGAGGAATGCAGCCCCCTCCCCTCCTCTCCGCACACCTGGGGAATGGGGAAACCCCCCAGGACGGCTCCCCCTGCATGGAGCAGGGGGTGCTGGCCCGATAGCCGAGACCCCCCCCATTTGGCGAGGGCAATGCCGGGGGGCCCCGGGAGGGGATCAGGAGCCGGGGACACCCCGGCCCCGCGGGGACAGAGCGGGCTACAAGTTCGGGGCCACAAGTTCGGGGCTCCTCTCTACAGCCCCAGGCCCGACCCCCGCCCCGCTGCGCTCCGCCCCGGGCCGGTCGCGGCTGCCCCGGCGCCTCCCCGGGGGGGTGGCAGGCAGGAGGAGAGGCGGGGGTCCCGCCCCATGAGTTCCGTGAGAGATCCCAGCACTGGACCCTCCACTCCTCTCCTGGGGTCTCTGCGCGGCGGGCGCGGCAGGTACGGCAGGGAACGGGGAGGGGATTCCACCCCATGGGATTCCCGTGGGATCCCAGGTCACCCTCCCAGCTTTATGGGGGTCCTGGGAATCCCCACGCTGCAGGCGGGGTGGGCACGGCCTCGGGAGGGAGCCGGCAGGAGGGGGTCCTTCCCCGTGTGCCCCCGGATTGTCCTCACCGGCCCCTTTTGGGGTCCCCATCACCCCCCTGGACCCCGCGGGCTGAGACCTGGCAGCTCATGGCACTGCCCGCGGTGGCTTTGGGAACGGGCCCCGGGCAGACCCCCCGAGTGTCCCGGGGAGCCCCTTCCCCTGGGGGTTGGTTTTGGAGCCGGTGGTGAAGGGGTGGGTGAGCACGGGGCCCCTCCGAGGCCGGGATGTGCGGAGCTGGAGGAAAAGGGTGTTTTGGAGCTTGAGCTGCGTGGTCACAAGGGGAGTTACAAAACCGGAATGTTTTGAGGAGCCTGGGGAGGGCAGGGTGGGAGCAGCGCCCACCCCGCCGTGGGGCTGGCGTGCCCTCACTGCCCTCCCTCCGCAGGTGTGGGGACATGAGCGGGGACATGCGGGCCCTGCTGTGCCTCTGGCTGGTGGCCCAGGTGGCCCAGGTGGCCCTGTCCTCCCGGGTCCGCACCCGCCGGGAGCTGGGCCCCGGTTTGTACGAGCACGGCGTCTACGACGCGGGCGGCTCCTACTGCCAGCGGGGGGATGTCTGCTGCCACGGCCGCGACGACGCCTGCACCGTGCCCTACCACGACACCCTCTGCTACTGCGACCTCTTCTGCAACCGCACCGTGTCCGACTGCTGCCCCGACTTCTGGGAATACTGCCTGGGCATCCCGGCGCCTTTCCCCAAAGCCCCAGGTGAGGCGCTGGGGGTGATGCAGCCCTGGGGTGATGCTGCTGCTGCTGCTCCTCGGGGTGATGGATGTGGCGCCCCACGGTCCTGCCCTCACCGCAGAGCTGCTGCGGAGCTCTCAGAGCTGTGGGAACTCCTGCAGAGTGTCCGGGGTGGGGATGGACTTCCAGAAAAAGAGGTGTGGGAGCAGCCCGTGACCCTAGAGCCCGCTCCAGCAGTGCCTGCGGGAAGAGCAGGGACGAGAGGAGACGTGCGGGGACTCCATCCCAGCTTGCCCGGTCACGGCTGGGGCAGGCAGATGCTGGCCCTGGCTTAACCCTGCCGGCAGCTGGGGCGGCCGGGGACGAGGAGGGGGCACGGGCAGCCCCCAGCTCCCAGCACAAGGCTCTCTCAGAAGTCCCTCCGGAGCAGAGCCAGCTCCCGGGCACAACCGGCCCCTTTATCCCTGTCCCGCCAGGCTGAGCACATTTAACCCTACCGGCGCCAAGCCAGCCCCGCTCCCACCCTGCACCCACTGACCCCCAGCAGAACTTTGGGGTGCCAAGGTGCAGCCGGGCACCAGCCTGGATTTAAGAACCGCGTTGGTTTTCCCTTCGGTTTGCACCCCGGGGAATTTGGGGAGCTGGTGGGGACCCCCGGCAGAGCCAAGCACTCACCAGGGGCTCCCCCATTCCCATTCCCACATAGGCTGTGCCCGTGCAGGACGCAATTATCCCATGGGAGCCACGTACCGGGAGAACTGCAACCTGTGGTGAGTGCATGCTGCGTGGGCACCTGCGGCATGTCACCGGCATGTCACCAGAGCAAGGTGTCGCCATCCCGCGGGCTCCTGGAAACCTCAGAGCGAGGCCCGAGCTGGGTGGTGGGAGCCGCTGCCAAAATGCCTTTGCTCCAACAAAATCGGAGCCAAGGGCCTTGAGCCGCTCCCAAGTTTCAGCGCATGCCTGCGTGGGAGCCGCTCGCCCCGGCGCTGCCCAGGGGGGTTTTGGCCACGCTGGTCCCAGCCCAGCTTGCCCAAGCCTGACGGGACGCTCGGGCAGCCGCGGCCGTTCCGTGCCAGCGGGCAGAGCCCCGGCCGTGCCGCCCGCTGGGCAGCTCCCGCAGCTCGCTGGGAATTAGCTGGGAATACTGGCGTTACCGTACTGGTATTACTGGCATGCGGAGGTGGGGGACTGGGGAACCTGCCGGCGCGAAGCTGCTGCAGACGAGGATTGCAGCCGGAGGGGCGATGCGGCAGATAAGCGGAAATCAAAGGCAGCGTCTGGGGCGTGTGCGAGGGCAGGGGCACGTGTGGGAACATGTGTGCGCGCCGGGGCTGCGGGTGAAAAGCCAGCCCGAGCCTCCCCACAGCTCTGGGGCAGCCTGGAGTTTCTCCGGGATGGTGGCACGGAGCGCTCAGGGATGGAGGGTGTCCCCGCTCCCGGGGGAATGTCAGTGTCCCCAAGCCATGCAGGTGGATGTGGCATCTCTGCTGTGGGGGAGTAGCACCGGGGAGGGGGCAAATCTCCCCTTCCAAACCCTCCTCCCCCACATTTGGTGCCTGGAGAACAGGAATTTCTGCAGCGTCACCCCCGCCCCTGTCCCGGGGTTCCCGCTGGGAGGGGGGGGTGGCAGGGGACAAAACCCATGGCGGGGTGACACAGGGTGTGGGCACCCAGCCGGCGGCACCCCGAGGTGCTCCCAAGTCCCCAGGTGTCACCCAGAGCGCCGGGAGCGCTCAGGGATGGAAGGGGGAAGGCTGGAATCCAGGTGCTGCCGGCGGGATCGGGATGGGGGTGTCTGGCGGGACACGGCCTCGCTCAGCTCCATAAAAGGGAAATGTGCCGGGCAGGAGGGAGCATGCCAAGCATTGCTCACTGCACGGGGGGAGCACAGCCCGGGGCTCCCCAGGGGACCCGCCGCACCCCCAGAGCCCCCCCCGGCCCGGCTGTCCCCATGGAGTGACCTGGTCGCTGTGGGTCACCCATGGGGACACCTGGCCCCGACCCCCGGCCCTGGGCTGCTGTCCAAGCCCCCCTCTGATGTCTGCAGCCTTGGCAGCTTTTCAGCTGATTTTCTGTCCCATGGCCTGGCTGCCCTCGGGGCTCCTGCGGGGGCTGGGGCAGGGGGGGGGGGACAGCTCCCAGGGCCACCCAGAGGCCACGCAGGGTCACCCAAAGGCCACTCAGGGTCACCCAGAGGGTCACCCACGGCTTCACCCCGCTGCAAGGTGCCAAGCCCTGGTGACCCCTGACAGAAGCAGCCCTGAGCCCTTTGCTGCCTGCCCGGTTTGGGAGGGGCAGCGCCCACTCAGGGTCCCCCTGGTCACCCTGGGGACATCATTTCTCAGCCACTGTCCCCTCTGCAGCACCTGCGGGCCCGGAGGGCAGTGGCAGTGCGAGGACCACGCCTGCCTGATGGACGGGGAGCTGATCGACGCCGTCAACAGGGGCAATTATGGGTAAGGACCGGGCACCGCGAGGGTGGCACGGGGATGCCTCACCCCTCGGTGCTTTTTGGGGCAACCCCTGAGCCGTGTCCCCTCTCGCCACGCAGCTGGAGAGCCGCCAACTACAGCCAGTTCTGGGGGATGACCCTGGAGGACGGGATCCGGCACCGCCTGGGCACCTTCCGTCCCTCTCCCACCGTCATGAACATGAACGAGATGCACGTGAGTCCCCCCGGAGGGGGGAAACTGAGGCACGCCCAGTGATTCCCCATCGCTGGGAAGGGGCTCCCAGAGGCGGGGGGGAGGCAGGGCAGCCCTCGTGTTTGGAGACAGCAGCTCAGCAAATTCCCCCGGACAATCCCCGGGCTGCCAGTGTTGTTTTTTCCCCCTCTCCTCCGCGCTCGTTTCCCATCGGAACGCCGGCCCCGCCGCTGCTGACTCAGCAGAGCTGCCTGCTCCCTTTCTTTGCCTCTACCCGCACCCAAACCCAGGGTGGGCACCCCCCGGGGGTCTCTGGGGTGCTGGCAGAGCTTGGTGCACGCCCAGCCCCGCGCTCCGGAGCCCCAGGTTTAATTTTAGAGGCGCTTCCTGCGCTGGGAGAAGCCGGGCAGTTGTGGCCGTGTCCTCCCCAGGAAGGTTGGGGCGGGGGCACTGTCCCCGCTCCAGGGAGGAAAGGCAGGGCCAGAGGCCACCATGAGGAGCTGTGTCACCCAGAGCTGTGCCCTCGGGGGGGCCACCGAGGGCCCTGCTGGGCTCCGGGGTGGGACACTCGGTGCTGGTGTTGTCTAAGGAGCTGCTGGGGCTGTGGAGCTCAAATTTAGAGGAAATTTAGGGGTGTGGCCTTTCTGGGATAAAGGAGAACCCAAGTCTTTGTCACTCAGGGTGATGTCCCTGTCCTGAGGGGTCTCACAATGAGGCTGGGGGGACACAAAACCTGGGTGGGGACCCTGCTCAGAGGATGGCTGGGGTGGCAGGAGGAGGAGCAGGGGTCCCACAGTGGGGCTGGGGGACACCAAAACTGTCTGGGGACCATCTCAGAGGATGGCTGGGGTGGCAGGAGGAGGAGATGGGGTCCCACAGTGGGGCTGGGGACAACAAAGTTGGCTGGGGACCATCTCAGAGGATGGTTGGGGTGGCAGGAGGAGGAGCAGGGGTCCCACAGTGGAGCTGGGGACACTAGAGCTGGCTGGGGACCATTCTCAGAGGATGGCTGGGGTGGCAGGAGGATCTGGGGGGTCCCAGTGGGCTGAGCCCCCCGCTCTGCCCCGCAGATGAACATGGACTCCAACGAGGTGCTGCCGCGTCACTTCGACGCCGCTGCGAAGTGGCCCGGGATGATCCACGAGCCCCTGGACCAGGGGAACTGCGCCGGCTCCTGGGCCTTCTCCACGGCCGGTGAGGGCGGCGGGGCGGGCGGGGACAGCGGGGACAGCGGGGACAGGGACGGAGCCGCCTCCCCCTGACCCGCCGCTCCTCCCCAGCCGTGGCCTCGGACCGCATCTCCATCCACTCCATGGGACACATGACGCCCGCGCTGTCCCCGCAAAACCTCCTGTCCTGTGACACCCGCAACCAGCGCGGCTGCAGCGGGGGGCGCCTG